AGTCATTCCCCCCCGATGGTCACTGGAGTGACCAAACTACTCTGCACAAACGAGCGTGCGCCTGATCGATCTGTCCATACTATTGCCATATTGGAGCCACCAATACTCTATTCCAGTAGTTATTTGATCAGTGGATCCTCTGAAATTGTTGTGGGGGGTAAAGGGTTAAAAAAATGATGTTAAATTTTTGAGCTTAGGATTACTAATAAAAAATGTCCTGGCCGTTCTTTTTTCATCATAAAAACCTAGTTCTCACTTAGATCGATTTACTATGAAAAAGGAAGAAAAGACTTTTGCTCTTTCTCGTGTTAATAACTAATTAGTTCTAATTAACGTTAATTTAGTCTACTCTACTAACTTAAAAGCTCCATTTGCAAAATAATGACATAACGAAAAAATTCGAACAACACCTCATCTGATATAGAATTTGACAGGCTACAATAGAGACTATTTCATAAGTTTTAGAACTCGTTTTTGGCTCCTCAGTAAGTCCAATAAGTCAGAAATTTAACAATAGGCTTTAAATAACTGATTTTTGTTGAATATATATTTCAGACTATGCTCTACAAGCTGGCGGAAGAACTGGGAGGAGGACCTCTCTTAAGAGACTATTTCTTGGCTGTTTACTTTCAGAGGAAGTAGTAGAAAATAAAATGAATCGCGAGCCATAACAACTAGTCTTAGATATGGACTCTAAGTCTTTCGACACGTCAGTCGTATAAGTCTGCAATATTTTTCTTCATGTCTTAGACGAAACACTTTTCAATCCCGTGAATATTATTGCTGAAAGTACTGTCTAACAACAATATATTTTGAAACAATTATTGGTACAATGTTCACGTGAAAAAGTCACTAATAATAAATCAAATTTAACATCAAGAAATGTTTTATGAAGTGCATCATATATAGAACTAGAATCAGTATTATCCATAGTCACGCTTACTCTGTCACTTGATATTTGGTGTTGCTATTGTTTACTATGAAAATAAAAAGATAAAGTGATTTTTTTACTAAACAAGAACTTTTAACTTTAGCTGAGCAGAATAGTGAACCAAAATTCCCAAAAGATATAAAACTAGATAGACAGAGACAAAAGTATCTTAATTGTGGATTTTTGCACTTATGTCAAGTAAAATACGCCTTTGTCACTAAAGCCTTTGTCATTATCTCTCATCTGTGAAGTTATACGTGAAACTTACTAAATAGAAAATTTTGAAACACACTTCCTTCACACTGCATCTACCAAGATACTAAAACGTATAGCTGAGGAAACTACTGCACCTCAGAATAATCTGAAATTCTTACTGCACAAAATCTAACACATAATATAAACAAGAAGTAAAAATCAATCAATAAAAAGAACGATTTATGGATCACATTTTATCTCCAAATGAACTTTGTAAAGATTTAATATAACATTAAAATCAATTGCATGCAACCAAATGAAAAAAATATGCAATAACAGCTTAAGCAGAAACAACGTCACTAATCCTTATTCTTGATTATTGTTATGTCTGCACTAGTGAAAAGTAGACGGAATATGGCTTTAGGTAGCAAAACTTGGTAACAAAAGTAATTGGTAATACTGCATCAAAACCATTGAATATATCCGAAACAATCGAAAAAAAGCAAAAAATAGAATATTTATATTTCATCCTACATACACTATAGCAGTGTCACCAGAGAAGCGGCGCTTACAAACACGAACAAAATTTCTTTTCATCTCTCTTGTCTTCGAAAGAAATTACCAAACATCTTCATGTACATAATGTGGCCTACCACAATGGGCATATGTATGTCTATTGTCTATTTGTTACTGCTCCATGTATACAAGTGCTAGACACCATTTTTTCAAATAGTGACGATAAACCAAATCAAAAATGACTTGGAAAATTCTAATACGTCAATTGGTGCTTGTAGCATTTATTCAAAAGAAGAAAGAACATTATGAGTAATATTTATTTTTCCTACTGTATGTGAAGGAGTGACATGAATAGACTTCATCATATTATCAATTCCACAAAATAACTGCAGAGTTTAGGGAGTGAATGTAAACTAAATTCAGAGGCGGACTTAAGGGGCCATGAGATAAAGAAAGTATATATTTGAGCACTGGAAGATATATTTGTTGTAATATACAGTGACTTCCAGAATTATCCGACCAACAGACCCAAATCATTTTATTTCTATCTCGAAAAAGTAAAAGAACTGTAGGTTCATTAGTTTCTTCCAACTGTAACCATACATGGCCTATATCACGGTAAAGACAGAGAGACTCTAGCTTGTTCATCTTCCGAAATATACAATAAAACGACTTCAGGCTGCTGACCAGATAATTTTGGATGTCACTGTATCCTCTAAGATCTACTTCCGCATGGGATAGCTTGATACCGATCTTATTTGTTGATGAATGCATATCAATTCACTAATATTATAGAGAGATGGCACATTTATTGATAATGTTACAATGAATGTCAGAAAGCAACAGGCAATGATAAAAAGCGTTTTCAAATTGTCTTTAGTTCATGTTTAGAATCATCACGGGTAGATGATGACCTTGGTTGAAATACCTGAGCCACTACCGTCCCATCGAATCCAGAAACTAATGTTGAGTACATCTCCCGGTGTTGTGTCAAACATTTGCGACAGATTTCGTCGAGCACCATCACTGTGGCATTGCTGGCCCCTGTGTGCCACACTTCCTACAACAACGTTTGCACCTGACCATCCGTACTCACTTACAACACCGTATCCATACGAGTAACTGGTATTCTCAAAATTGCCGTTGATGAGTAGTTCTCGTCCATAGGAATTAGCGACTGAGACATCGTCGAGATATGTAAACGACGGCGCATTTTGCGTGAAGAACCATAGTGTAGTTCGATAAGCTCTTGCTATATAGACCGAAGTGACCTGATAGTAGTTGAACAAGCTTGCAGCCGGATTGATAATTGAATAGAGGATTGTAACATCCGGTTCGCTGGTGGCTAAATTTAATTTACTCCACTAAATTTTCAGAAGAAGTTATGATATACATACTCATTCGGGTAGTTGTTGTTGCAGTTGACGATTCTAAACAGCACAGCAACACTGTAAGGACTAGATAAATTCGGCATTATTACCTGATTACCTGTGGTACTGCGATCGGGCAGTGGATTGTTGTGGGAATCAGCCGTTTGACTAACTAACGGAAAGAAAGCAAAGAATAACATGTTCATCTCAATCAGATAGCTGTACCAAGGACAATTGTGGTGAATTGTCGAAAAGTTGGCGTAATAATCACCGCTCCCATCGCGAAAGCCAACACCACACCTAATGCCATTAAACATCGGCACCATGCAGGCATTGAACGATGACTAAATAAGGTCGATAAATCGATGAGATACTATGTTGTGAAGATACTCACGCATGTTCTTTGCCGATGAAGATGGTGGCATCTTTGATTGTCAATTGCTGAATATCTTTTGGAATGGTTATCACCTACAAGAAATGGTAGTCAAGTTTTTTCTTATCGCCTCAGACAAATGTAGTAAAGCTTTTTTACTTGTCCACTGGTCGGTGGTAAAAGAGCTGCGGAAAGTTTCTCGGTCATTTGTTAAAAGCAAAAGATCGTATGTCGACTGAAAGAAATTATATCTTTGAAATAAAACGACTGACAAGAGTACGATTACAGCAGTGAGACCATTTATTTTACCGTCACATATATTCAAAAAAAATGAGGAAATAGCAGTTTGTGCTTATATGCATATTGACTAAGAGGTGAGAGAGATGACACAATCTCATTTAATTCTCGGAATAAATAATTTATTATTACAAAAAATAACTTGTTGGGTCAATACATAAGAATAGTTTTGAAAAAATTGTAATAATAAATTATTTATTCCGAGAATTAAATGAGATTGTGTCATCTCTCTCACCTCTTAATCAATAAGCATATAAGCACAAGCTGCTATTTCCTCACTTTTTTTGAATATATATGAAGTTAAAATATATAGTCTCACTGCTGTAATCATACTGTTCTCTTTGTTTCCATTCCATTTTACATATACGGACAGTTGAGAAAGACCATATACTATGGTCAAACAAATGACAAAGCCTACGATCACCCTAAGGATCTTTGCTTTCTGTACCTTTGCTAAGTAGTAAAATTATCTTGATTAAGTCTCCAGCTTATTCCCTTTGTTCAGTACCAAATTACTGGGCCTAATTACTGTACCTTCAGAAGACTTCTCCACCGGTCGGTGGCAAAAGAGCTTCGAAAAGTTTCTGGATCATTTGTTAAAAGCAAGTGCTCGTATGTCGACTGGAAGAAATTATATCTTTGAGATAAAACAACTGACAACAGTATGATTACAGTAGTGAGACTATATATTTTAAGTTCATGTATATGTCGCAGTAGAAATTAAAATTCAGTAGAATTTAAAATTCTACTAATTGAAATTAAAATTTCATTTTCTACTAGGAGAAATTAAAATAAGCGGCGATTTTAAGTTGCACTAGTAGAAATTGAAATTTTAATCTCTACTATAGGAGAATTTTAAATTCTACTAGAAAGTTTAGATAACGGAAGTATTTTAATTTCTACTGTAGGAGAAATTAAAATACATATTTAGACGGATGATGATATGTACAAGCACATGGATTATTTATTAGTAAAGGAGACAACAGCACAGGAAATTGTTGAATATATCAAAGAGTTTACATCTATTTATTTGAACAGTGTTTTTTTTTAGCAGGATGGCATTTTGTACCACATGGTACTTTAGCTGCTTTGCTAATTTTTACTCTGGATTCGAGTACAAAATACTACCTCTTTCCACATT